AGATAATTTTTGAAGGTGCATCGATGCAGTAAGTGGTGTAGTATCGATGCATGGGAATTTCGAATCTAATTTGGGTACCGATGCACCCATAGTGCATCGATACACCCCTAAAGGAAATTAGGAGTATGAGTTTATTAAATTAGTTTAAGTTAATATCATCAAAGTATAAGGTTTAGGCTTCTAATAATCATCTTGAAAATTATGTTTATGTAGATATTGAGCTTAAACGAGTTCCGAAAAAGTGACAAGTAAGATTGATCGAGGGAAGGACAAAGAGATATAGGTGAGTGCATATTATAAGTATGGTACAATGGAATAAGACTTGTGATAAGTCTAATTCCTATGTTGATTTTCATAGCACAATAGTTATGAACATGCATACATGATAATTATTATGATACATGCATAAAGTATATATGATCATATGATTTGATAAATGATATATGTGAATAGATTCAAATGCACATGTGATATGGTAAGTGATATAAGTTATGTGATCACAAGAGAAATAACATGAATACATGAACATATGAAACATAATAATAATGCCCATGGTATACGATATGAGAGCTATAGGTATAGTTGGCATGCCAAGAGTCGAGGGTTCTACGTGGTCCTTCGGGACATATATGTACCCTTTGGAACATTTACAGGGTCTTCTGAGACATATTTGATCCACTAGAATATGTATATGGTTCTTAAGGAGTGGTCCTTCGAGACAAATACAGTACATAGGTTCTTCGGGACAAAATTTCATAGCCGCTAGTGGGACCTCATACGAGCTGTGGTAACAGTAATAGTGCACACCTCAATGTACTGGAATACCTTGAGTTCTCAAAAATGTACATGGGTCTATAAAAGGTTATCAAAGGTAATTGCATTATTATAGTTATATGTTATCATATTATTATTGTTTGCATTGAATTGAATATGATATGATTGAATGGATAGATTGCATGTTCATATTCATACAGAATGCATTATTATTATATTTATATGTCTCACTAAGTCTATGACTTAGCGTGTAAGCGATTTACACGTAGGTACTGAGAAGCAAAGAGACCCATTATAAGCTCAGCAGAACAACACATCTCCACTTGAAGGTCAGATCAGAAGTAGATTAGATAATATGTTTTATGATGTGATAAATAGGTTGACATGTAAACAACATAGGTAAATTAAGTATTTATGCTCTGATCGAGTTTTGTAATGTTTTAAAATTATTTATGTAAATGTAAATGCATAGTAATCAATGGTTAAATTTTACGAGTTTTATGTACATTTTACGAAAAACACTGTAGCAGTACTATAGCAGTACATCGATGCACAATTTGTATTCGATATTTGGTGCATCGATGCACCATAGCAATGTTCATTACTGTTCACGGTACTGTTCATACCGTATTTTACTGTTCATAAAACGTATATTTTCTTAAATTGGTTATAACGAACACAATTCAACAATGTATGATCGTATTTTCTTATTATAAGTTTAAATGTAATGAATTTTGTAAGAATATCATTTTTTAAAGTTAATGTGATATCTCGGATTCGTATCCGGGTCGGGTACGGGTTGAGGTGTTATATGTAACACCCCGAATCTCAGGTTAGTAGTTTGAGTCAACCCGAGACCTAGAGTTTGAGCCCAAGGGACCCTATAAGATAGTTGGGCCAAGTTTAGTGTTAGTGGGATTCGATTGGGCCCAAAAGTTTTAATGGTTGGTGATGATTGTTTTATGAGTTAAAATGTTGAACAACTAAAAGTGCAATATTCCCCTTGATGTTTTGAAAGTTGAAAACCCTCCTTATATTATGATTTTCACGTGAACCACCCCCTTACTTAGCTAACCAAATACTCTTCCCATCTTCTCATCTTTCTCAATTCTTTATCCTTCCTAAATTTAGAAACTCAAATAAATTCAAGCCTAGTTAGGTCAATCTAAGGTAAGATTATTAATCTTTGTCCTTCTAGCTTCATTTTGAGCTCCATTTCACAAGTTTTTAAGAGGCTTATGGAAATCTATGGATTTTAGCTATATTTTAGGTGGATTTGGGTTATAGGGAGTTATTTAGATTGTATCTAACCCCTAGATGGTTGAGTAATACCTTTTCTCACTTTTGATTAGTGAATGAGGTAGGAGAAAACTCACAAGCTTAAGAAAAAGAAAAATTGAACCTTGGTTGATTGAGGAGAATTATAGTCATCAAAGAAGCAAGGTAACACATTCACAACTCTTCTATACTTTTAGTGAGTCATTGATGGCATAATGGTTTTAAAGCATGTTGAGCATGATTATGGTAGAATTCATTTTTAAGGTTTAAACATATTATAAAGCCTTTTTTATGATCCTTATTTCATACATAAAATATTAATAATGATTGAGGACCTCTTTAGGGTCTTTGGGATAGGAAGATAGAATTTTTCGTGCTAAAATGATGCACTTTGCAGGTTGGGTCTCGATACTGAAGGGCTAGTATCGAGACTATTCTTCATTTTCTAGGTAAATTCATGAATTTCTGGTCAGTTGTATCGATATCCATTCAAGAGTATAGATATCAGGGTCACAGTCTTGAGACTCCCAGGTTTGGTATCGAGACCGAAATTCCAGTAGTCATTTTAGTTTTGATACTTCCATAGAGTACCAAAACTAAGTCATAGGTATTGATATTGAAGGGTCAATATCAATACCAATAAATGTTTTGGGTAAAAAAGGTCCAATTTTAAGGGATTTGACTCGAGGTACCCCAAAACTTCAGTATACCATCAAATAAGACTACAAGTGAGAACATTAATGATGCTTAATTACATTTAGAAATGAGATTAATTAGAGGATATAAAAATAACCTTGATTGATGCTCGAGAAACGATCAGAGAACTCGATTTCCTTTAGTAAGATTATGGTGTCGAAGTATAAAAACAGTATGGATATCCTTAGGTAGAGCGTGAGGCATTTTAAACTGACTAACTAGGGTCGAGACCTGACACTCGTGAAGGGTGGGTTAGTCGAGGGTGATGTGTCCGATGTAGAGATTTCAGGCCTCATCCTCATTAGACTAGAGGAGTGCATGAGCTCCGAGATGCAGAACCCTCAGTCACACCATGATGTCTACCATAAAGTAGATAGTGCAGTATACGAGTATACCACTATTGTAGTTTATTAGTTAGCTTCAGTGTGACATAAACACTTTTAGTATGACTTAATTGTTAGTGTGGAACTAAGCTAGTTAGCTCAATGTTTGGAATTTATTTCCATACAAGTTAGTCAAGGAGTAGACAAAAGACCTTTTTAGCCAGCAGTGATCTAGATCAGACTAGTGCAGAGTACGTCTCGAGTTCATCTTTAGAAGGTACGTATATTTATAACCCCGTTTTGTATATTTGAGTCATAACTTATTTTAAAAGATGGTTTGTATGATTTGAATTATTATTTTCTAGGTATACTTAGTCGTTTACATCCCTCACGGACTAAGTCTTACTAGTATGGATCGTCATTAGCTCTTACGGAGCTTAAACGGGTCAAATCTGACAAAGTGAGTAGTATCAATACTTACTTGTAATATCGATATTATAGGGTCAAGTATCGATACCCTATGAACATCGGTACTAAAAATACATTATGCTACAAAATTGGGGCCTCAGTATCAATACTGTCACCTTGAGTGTTGATATTGTATGGGCAATATCGATACTCCCCTTGGCAGTATCGATACTCCTAGTTAAAATCCCTAATTTTTGCCCCATTTTAACCAGTATCGATATTGTTCATCCCAATGTCGATACTAAAACCCATAAATGGTTATTTTAGGCTCGAAAAACACTCAAAAGTCACCCTAAAGGCCATAGTTTGATTCTAAATCATGCACTTAAGTTTTTAGGAGTTAAATAGGATCCCTATGTGTCACAAAACACATTAATAACACCTAAAACGTTTTTTAGTCTTGAAATCAAATTTAAACCCTAATATGCTCAACTATACAAATCTTAGCAAATACTTTTAATTTATAAAAACTTAATACTCCAACGGATTATAAATATAGTACCTTGAAGTTTGAATCCCGAAATTGAGCTCATTGCTTAGCCACACTCCTTTCCTTGGTGATTTGGAAGAAAACCCCCACTTTTCTTTAGCTAGGATTAAACCAAGATTTTGATTCTTTAAAACTATGTTGTAAGAGGGATTAAGGACGAAAATGAAATAAGAAAAAGGTTTAAGACATTACCTTGGAGCTATGGTTACTTCGAGAAGATTGAGGAAGAAAGAATAAAGACGAAGAAATGAAGAGAAGAGAAGTGGGAAATGAAACCCATGTCCAAACATATAACACCCCCCAAATTTTAGCTTCAAAACCCAACAAGGGTCTAACTACACTTTTAGTCCTTGATTTTTGTCTCATATTTAAAAATCCCCTTTTTGTGGCTAATTGGGCCCAAATCCAACCCAATTACCCAACAACTTAAATCATAAAATCCACGAGGTCCACTTACCTCTCGAGTAATCCTGGAACTACTAGCCCAGAATTTGGGGTGTTACAAATTAAGAGACTTGTTGTTATCCCTTGAGGTTTAAAGTTTGACTATCACATATGTCACGAGTAAGAACGTTCATTGTCAAATGATTGAGAGTCTAAACAAATATTGTCTTGTAGTCACCCCAGATTTATTAAAAAACCATTTACGACAAAATATTCAACACTTATAAGTAAAACGTATTGTTGTCACTACTGTTTAAAGTTTTTATGCAAAAAATTGTGACTAAAAACTTAAAAAACTGTGAGAGTTTTATACAAATTGTCACTATTAAAATAGTGACAGAATTATTTATAATGGCTAGTAATCGCATTAGAAAATCGTCGCTAAGAATTTTAGTGACTAATTTCACTGACACAAATGATTTTTTTTTTTATAAAGATGGTTTCAGTTTTGGATGATGAGAGAGTATATAGCTGTCGACTCAAGCACTGCTGCATTTAACCATGTAATAAGATCAACATAACACAAGAAGACCAATACAAGTGCAACATCATAAAAACAACAATCTAGTGAACTACAAAAGCCTAAATTTTTTTTGAAAACACAAAATGCATAGTATCTACTATCGATGGACTGAATCACAAGTAGAATGACAAAGAATTCGTATCTGGGATCTTTAGTTAAAATCTGTCCCCAACCTGATCATATATATATAATGAACCAGCCTTAGATCGCTCCATGATCAACTTGTTTATTTTGACCTTTGAGATCCCCATTTGATTGCACTTTAAACCCTTTAAGATCACCATTTGGATGTATTTTGAACCCTTTGAAATCCCCATGGTCTCCAGGCATTAATCTGAACCCTCTGGGATCTTCATTCCCAAGCATTTTGAACCTTTTGTTTTGATCACCACCGGTGACGTCGACCGGTTTCGCCGTACGAATCGGACCATCGAATCCCAACTCTATGTCGTTCCCTTTGCGTCGGGGATTGGTGGGTTTCGTCTGGCTCATGCGCCGGTTGCAGAGTCTTTTGAGGAAGCAAGCGACCGACGATATGACGATGATGACCGCAAGCACTATGAAAACCGTGCCGAATGATCCATCGGAGTGGGGGATTTGAGATGGCAGTGCTTGCCCTGAGGAAACACTGTTCGGGTACATAACAACGGGCTGTTGTGTTTCGGTCGACATTGATGCTTTGGTCTGGTTTAAGGGACGAGGAGACTGATTTTGTAGGTGATGAAAAGGGTTTGGATTATTTTGTATCAATGTCTGCAACTCTTTGCTCTTTGAGTGCAAATAAAGAGGGAGAGATAGGAAATTCTTTAAACAAGCAAAGAACATTTGCTCGTCACGAGAGCTTCATTTAAGTAAGAGTGAAGTTAATGATCATTCACATGAAATAGCTTAAATTAATTATTTTGATCCCTGAACCTTAAAAAGTTATAGAATGAATATTAAATTTATCAAATTGTTACAAAATAGTCATAATAAAATTATAATAAATTAATGACCATTTTGTAATATTTCGGTAAAAGTTAATGACTACTTTATAATATTTTGATAAATTTAATGATCATTCTTAACCGTTGTTAAAATTTAATGACCATTTTATAACTTTTAAATAATTAATGACCAAAATTATCATTTGAATATAGTTTAGTGACTTTTAATGCACTTTCCCTTTAAGATTATGTGAATTGGTTAGTACAAATTTTGAGATTCAGTCTTTATACTTAAAAAGTTAAAAACCTAACATAGACACAATGAAAATACAATAGAAAATTTATTAAGAGGTCTATTAATTATCTAATCGTTATCAAATTCGTCAAATTCATTATCAATGTTAACTTCAAAAAGTAAATAATTATAATTTTTACTAGAATTTTAGCATTTTTAATCAAATAAATAAGATAATCTAATTTTTAACTTGTTAGGTAAAGGGACTAAATCTTAAAGTGTACCAAAGTACAAGGATTGGGTGCATACTTCTACATTTTTCAAGACTTGAAGTGCAATGCTTCAATTTAGTCAAGGGGTAATCTTCTTTATTAAAGAGGAACAAGTAAAGATATTCCTGCTGTTTCTTTAACCACAATGTGGAAGCACAGTCGCACTTGCTTTGTAATGAGAGAAAGTGGGCGTTTGTTTACTCATCAATCATTGGATTGGCTCCACCCCATATAGCATTCCCGTTAAATTAAAAATAATCATATTTGGGAGATTAATTAATTGTTATAGTGGTGACATTAAACACTACAACCATAAGATTAAAACCAACGACGAGATATGTATTTAGATTAAAAACTAACAGTTAAAATATATTAGAGTTGATTAATATTAGTTGATTTAGTAGAATATAAGTTGATCTAGTAAAATAAGAAACTAGATCTTTCAAATAATATCAATAATTATAATCTTAATAATGTTGTGAATGAAGATAATTGAATTAAAAACATTATTCTCCTAATGGATATTTATAAAAACTACATAAAATAATCTCCAAAATCATCAGAAAAAATATACCATCAGTGAAGAAGCATTGATAATACACCTTTATTTGAGATATTTACCAAAAAAGAACGAGATAATATGACCCAATTTGATACATGCATGTATAGTAGATTATTAGTTTTTTATGGATTTTTATTATGTATAAGTGATAAATTTAATTGTTTTAAATTTTTATAGTTTAATATTAGAATTTTAAAAATATAAATATCGAATCTAGTTAAACTAAAATATAAAAATTAAATTCATAATTTAAAAATTAAAGTTGATTTAGATGTTTAAATAAGTGGTCACAGTTGAAGGCTTGTCAGGCTATTTTGGAAAGACAACAAGTACCAGGGATTCAACAATGGAATCCGAGTAAAGTGTTACATGACCATGACAGCATCATTTCCCCGGAAGTTATAAGGTGAGCCATGCTTAATATACGGTTAAAAAAAATATTACTGATTTTATTATTCTTTTAAATAATAAAAGTGGTAAAAAATAATCGAAAATATTATTATTTTTACCGTTTTGTTATTATTGTTAATTACCGATATAGGTAAACGCGATATAAAAACCCGATAAAAAATAATGTTTTCGGTAAAGCAATACCTAAAATATTATTTTTTACCGGGTTTTTCTAACCGCGTTTACCTATATTGATAATTAAAACCGGTAAAAATTATATGTTTTCGATCATTTTTTATCAGTTTTGTTATTTAAATAATAACAAAAACGATATCATCTTTTTTTAACCGTATATAAACCCTGCCGAACGTGAACATTTCCCTCATTTCCCCACGCAACATATAATGGGGTTTTACCCAAAAATCACACAAAAATATATTATTTATTTGTCAGGTACATTTTCTTCAAATATCATTGATCTAACATTCTTTAACAGTAAAACGTGGTTGACCACCTTGCACACGTGGATGGAAGGCACGGATCATCAAGCGCACCTTCTGTCCGAGCTAGCGTCACGAGGGTAAATCACGGATCCTCAGACACGTCTTCGATAGGATTATGACCATCCATAAATATTTCTTTTAATATAACCAACTGTTCCCTCCCCCTCCAACTATAAATACTTCATCATACAACCCTCAAACCACACAAAAAATTTTCTCCTCTTCCTTTTATCAATCATTCTAATAAGCTTTAAGTAAGTTCTGCTATCGTTTTTATAAGATAAAACTTTTATTATTATATTATAATCATTTAATAGTTTGTTATTTTATTATATTTTATTGTAATAATTTTTATTACTTTTTTCAGTTATAAAATGGAAAGCGGGTTATTGCGTTTAGATTTGAAATCATATCTCCACTCATTTTTCTAATACAGTAACATATTTTAATTATTACGAATGTTTTATTTATTTATTTATTTGTAGTATTAATTTAGATTTTAATTTATATACTATTTAGTTAATTAGGGGAATGACATATATTATATCTTTTTATTCATAACGTTAAGTTAGAGATATTGAATTGTGTCTGGCTGTATTTAGCCGAGGTTGGATTCAATTTCATAGCGAGATATGAAGGACACTGTAACAACGTCTGAATTTTGATTCTGAGCATCAACCATCATAGCAATATTGTCATCGATGGAGAGTTCAAATGTTGTATAAGTTAACAAAAATAGTGATGTTGGAAATATGTACTGAAGTGAGTATAGTATTCTAATACTTCCAACATGTACCTTCTTTGAAATTTCAGTGATTAGCTCCTCAAGATTAATGTTCCTCTTGAAGGATAAACTGACAGAATGATTTGATGGGAAGACAATGTCGGTTTCATCTTCTCGAATTTCTCCATGATAGTAAACAATAGCTGAAATAGCCTCATTTTGAGAGTTTAAAATATTGAGAGTCTTATATCTGCAAAAAAAATGACGTTAATTGTTTAATATATGAATTAAAATATAAACTAATACTAAAAATTTTATAATATTCACAATATTTTAAATAGCACAATTTAATATTGTTACCGTATCGACAAAATGCCTCGAGATATGATATGCCTTCCATTTTACAACCGCAAAAAAATAATACAATAAAATTTGGTCAAACAATTCAATATGAAATAAATATAATATAATAAAATAATTGTACCATCTAAAAACTATAAAAACTTCTACTTAGCTTGATAAAAGGTATTAATAGAAGAATAATATCTTTGGATTTGTGTGTGGTTCGATATTTACATTTGGGGCGATATTTATAGGGGAGGGGATGACTGATTGTTGGCATGAGTAAATAATTGAAGGGGGATATTTTTGGGGAATCATGACGTCAGCTCGGACGGAAGGCACGCTTGATGATCCACGCCTTCCATCCACATGTCCAAGGTGCGCTTGATGATCCGCGCTTTATAGCCAAAGGATGCTAGATCAATAATATTTGGAGAAATAGTGCCTAAAAGGTAAATAATATATATTTGGGTGATTTTTGAGTAAAAATGTCAAATATATGGTCTAAACTAGGGTTAACTATACAGATGATCACTTATGTTTTTATTTTGTCATTTTTTATCATTGATTTTAAAAAATAAGATTTTGTCACTATCGTTTTTTATTTAATTAAGATGTAGTCACCCCGAGTTAACTGTTGTTAACATCAGTTAAATATTTTGATATAATCACACATTTGGTCGTTGTTATTTACATATTATCTCAATTTGTTCATACTTTTAATAAATTAAAATAAATTTAATTCTCCAATTGAATGATTCCACATATCACTTAGAAAACTAAAAATGAATCCAACCATTAAGCTAAGACCATTGCTTGGTCTAAAATATACAACATGGTGTATATATTTTTTATCTTAGTGTATAAATACTTAAATTCATAATATTTTATATATATTAACTTAAAAATATTTTTATATTAATTTATTAAATATATTTTATTATTAACTTAATTTTAAAATATTTTATTTTTATTTGTATTTAAAAATATATATTTTATGTTAAAATTTATTTGAAAGTATGACTAAATCAAGAGAATTATAAATAACAGGGACCAAATGTGTGATTATACCAACTATCCCGTCACATATTATGTTAATTGTTAACAACAATTAACCTGTGATAACCACATCTTAATTAAATAAAAATGAGAGTGACCATATCTTACGTTTTATGAAATCAATAATCAAAAGTGAACAAAATACAAATACAAATGATTGTCCGTGTAGATAACCCAATTTTTAATATTCAATCATATTTTGTCTCTAATTTTTATAATAAATTTTTATTTTATTTATTTATTTATTATGCTAAAGTGATTACATGTAATATTTGTTCTAAACATACTCTCAATCATTTGATAATGAATGTTCAATCATCATACTATAGTTGCTAGTGCTCGAACCCGTGACCTCTAGGAACAACAATGATTCCTTTAACCATTAAGGTAAGCTGGTTCGTGCTTACAATAAATTTTTATAAAATTTAATTTTAATTAATCGATTAATAAGATAAATATTAGTGAAGCTATTAGGAAAATCTTAGATATTATCAAAATTGATCCATAAAAGTTTTCTAAGAAACACTATTAGTTAATGGGGTTGGTCGGCCATATTGAGCGTTTGATTTGATGGTGGAATGTGGTCTTTATTCCTTGGTTTTATTTTCTTTTGAATTTTTTAACAAAGTAAGGGATTCGGTTGGTAGCACATTATAGTAAAATAAGAAATTAGATCTTTTAAATTATATCAATAATTATAATCTTAATAATATTGTGAATGAAGATAATTAAATTAAAAACATTATTCTCCTCATGGATATTTATAAAAATTACATAAAATAATCTCCAAAATCTT